ATAGAAAATTAGCTAGGCATGGTGGCATGCACCTGTAATACTAGCTACTCAGAAGACTGAGGTGGGAGGATCGCTTAAGCTCAGGAGTTTGAGGCTGTGGTGAGCTATGATTGCTCTGTTGCACTCTAGCCTGGGTGCCAGAGGGAGACCTTGTCTCAAAAAATAAATAAATAGGCTTAAATGCAAATTCCCTTGGGAGGTAGTGATACAAACACGGTGGAAGGTGAATGACGGATATCCTAGAAGAACAGGTTTGTACTGGACAAAGACAGGAGGGCACCAGATTCTTGAATCAAGGCGGGGATAGAAGAAGAATGAGAAAGGAACACACAGACATTGAAATCCAGCTGGTCCCAGTTCCTAATTTTGCTCAGGTGTTGCCTTTCTCTCTACAGCTCCCACGTGGTGGGAGCGGGGATGATCTGGGAACTGCCCAGCTCCAGGGATCATCCACACAGCCTACAGCTCGGATGGTGCCCCTGGATGTGTGCTGCGCCGCTTCCAGGCCTGGGACTCCCCCAAATGGACCCCCTCACAAGGACAGGATGAGCAGGGGAAGCCCGCCTTGGTCACTCGTGCCCGGTAGTTGCCAGCCCCAGCAACTGCGTAAACGGGGCTCCCTGGCTCTACCCCTCTCCCCGGCTGCCCTTCTGGTGCAGCCTATCCTGGTCACTGCCCTCCACCAGGAGCCAGGCAACAGGACGCGGGTATGTACAGCAGCACCACCTGTTCCTTATGCAAATTTATTGGTAGAAATGAACTTTTTTCATTTTTCAGTTTTTCAAATAATCATTTCACTTCATCCTTCTGGCATACTATGTTAGTAGCAATAACTGGCTACTCCCTACACCTGCCTTGGCGGCAGCGCAGCTCGCTTGTGTAAAAGGCCTGCACACTTCAGGTGGATGTAGAACAAGCCCGCCCGCTGGAGGCGCGATCATTCACTGCCCCCTAGTGGACCAGAGGTGCATGAGCCAGGATCCGTGCTTCCGCTTTGATGTGGGTTCTGAGCAAATCAGGGCTGCATTTTATTTCAGGAAGTTTTCGGCCTCTGCTGCTTTAATCTTTGCTGCTAGTGTCTACGGTTCTTAATTAACAGCCCTGAAATGGAATAAAATGTCAATCAAGGGTGACTCTGTGTAAAGCTATATTTAAATGTTAAAAAGTCGTGACATTTTCAAACAATATTTCAGGCCTCATTTGATGCTCATTTTAAAAATCAAATTTTCATTAGATTATAAAAAGGCTTAACGTGAACGTCGCATTAAGGAGCTCATGTTGGCATCTAGCATAACCTCAGGTTTTGTGTAAGAGAAAAAACAAGTTTATTTATAAAGCAGAAGCACTGACTCTGCCTGCCTTGTCACCTAATCGCCTTTTGGTTTTCAAGGTTTTCACAATTTGCACGCTTCTTAATTGCCATGTATCCTGGCAATCAGGAGCCCAGTCATACTCAGCATAAGGAAAGCCACCTCTGCAATAGCTGACAACGGCCAGGGGAACTTGGTTTGTCACCACATGCCACAAAGGTGCGTGACTGTCCTTGGGGCAGCTTTAGATTTGTCATACCTGGCCCTAGATCATGCAGTTGAAGATCTTTCGATAATATTCATCTGCATTACATTCGACATACTAAGAGAACTGTTTCTGTAGAAGGTTAAAACACTGACTTTTCTACCCTTTCTGAGCTGTTTCCTCATTGCCAGGACTTGAATGAATTTGGAACTGTTCCAGTGCTCAGTGACTTCACTGTTCTCACCTTGTGGCATAACTTAGGTAGTTGGGCAACTCCCCTACCCTTGCCTGGACTCTTGCTGTCAAAGCCCTCCACTGATAAAGTCTAGGCCGATCACACCCTAAAGCATTTCTCATATGTATGGATTTGTTTCTTATCTATACCTGAAGAATGGCGCTGGTGAGGTACCACCTTTGGGAGAATTGAGAACATCATCTCTGAGATAATTCTCTGTGCTTTGTGGCTCAAATGAGTAGAACAGTTCCAAAGGGAGTGACATCTGCGTGAGATCAGTGGGGGGACATGCTGTATCCTCCCGGGGACAGCCTTGTTCATTTAATTCGTTCGTTTCAGGCTGACTGTGGAGTAGACCCAGCCCTGATGATAGCAGACTTCCAGGAGCTGTTGGTGAGAAGGCTTCGGTGTGTCCACACAGAGCAGAACTGAAATTTTTCCACCCCGTGCAGATCAAACACCGCAGCAAGTGAAGTGTTTCAGAGTCCTTCCTAAGCAAACTGTAGTTTTCCCCAGAATGTCACAGGAAGTGCTGCTGGTGATTCATCAGGTTAAAATGCTCCTCATGAGTCAGAAGTAAAGGGAAGCTGCTGCTCTGTGTGGAGGGCGAAGAATCGTGGCTGGCCCTGAGGGTTCCAGGGGTGGGGCGGGGCAGAGCTGCTTACTAACCGATTAGAACGTTCCAGTAACAACACTCGAATGGCTGCTGGAAAACACAGTGAAACCCTTGCCTATGGAAACCTTTTAATAAAAGAATAAAAATAAAATAGGCTTGGAGATACAACTTGCCAGAGGGAAACCAACCAGTAGAGCTGCCTTTCCCGTAAGTCCCTGTTGCAGCCCAGCCAAACCTCTGGCTGCCTGTTTTATTAGAGTCAGGCCAAAGGCCCATCAGGTGCCTCCAGTTTACCTGACTTGGTTTAAATCAGTCAGTTGAACTGGGGCTGAGTGGTCATCTGGTCTACCCACTAGCCTCTACAGCCACTAACTTCAGGATATCATCTCTAACAAAGTCCTCAATCCAAGACTGAATTGAATGCTAGGAGTAGGGAAAAGGGAAGGCACAGTAGGGTCATGGCTGAAAGCTAAGCATACATTTGTATCTACTTAGGGAATTTTTAAATCAACTAGAAAAATCAAGATAAAACACATGTGAAATGATTTTAAAGTGCACATTTAAAAAAAGGGACATAAAACACAACCAGTATTGCTGCTTTCTACTCTGATACTGCTCTTAGCCCCCTAAGGTCAGCCACCCATCTCTTCGGGTCGGTGTGTGAAGTGACACAGTAGGAAGATGGGCACAGAGAGAGCCCCTGGTCCAAGCCGGCCGTCATTCAGCTGAGAAGACGGCATTCCTGGAGGCTGCGCGCACACCATGCCGCCGCACCCTCTCCAGCTGATCTGTGGCCAAGCTGCCTCACAGGCAATACTGAGCATGTTTTATATAAGGGTTTCAAAGCTGCTGCTGCTGCTGCCACTGCTGCAGTGGCTGTAACCTGGCCTTCAATGTCTCTGTCTAGACAGATGCATGATTGAATAAAGGATTCATCCAAGCCCTATGTCACCCTGGCCATCTGGAAAGTCGCCAACCACTCATTTAGCAAATTGCTATGTTTAAATGCAGCTGCTGTGTCTCAATGTTTATGCTACCAAGACAGATCGCATGATTCCTCTTCTTTCATTTATCTACACCGCTCCTTTTAATCTGCCTAGGAACTTAAAAGGCTGTTAATGCATGACAAGGCACTTGACCCGTGTGATTTCCAAGCCAAGGGGGAGCATCCGTCTTGCACTGGGTCGTGCTTTCCTCAAAAGCAAGGGCACCTTGCCTGCACTCCCGTCTTAATGAAGGCTGCCTTTATTAAGAATCCCATTAAGCTCCACAGTGCCCAGCCATCCGACACTGTAAATATGACCCTTTAGAAATGCATCCAGGGGCCCTGTGCAGGCAGCTGGCCTGGTAGCAAGCACTAGCCCTGGCAGTCGGGAGGGAACCTCAGACCTCAGCTGTCTATAGAAGGGAGGGCATTGTTTGATGGGCTGATGCTTCTCTCCTTTTGGAAAGATGAATTACAATCTTTGGCAGATAATGTCAACAAAACCCCTGAGATGATTTAAATAAGAGTTGGAAGCAAAATGATTTCAGAATAGCAATGAGCTCTTGGGTGTTTTACCTTGGTTTTCTTATTTTTAAGGAGGAAAAGGAAGGAGACAGCCAAGATTAGGCAGTTTGTCACCTGGATATCACTGGTCACTTTGGCGTGGTGCTGACTATTATCTGTTATTTATCAGATTAAATAATTTTGGTGACCACTGCTTACATAAATTGCCTACCTCTTTTGGGGGTCACAATATTATTAAGTCTGGAAGTCAGAAGTCAAAATCAGTGAGTGTTTATCAAATGAATATCGTGTTCTCAGTCCTTAGCTAGGCCCATTGGAAAAGCAACAAAACAGCACAATAAATGATCTGTGCCATTAAATCCTATTGGGAGACAAAAAGAAACAAATACAAGAGAATCTAGCACAGTGAGGAGTGAGGATGTGGTCTTCAGAACCAAATCCCAGACGCAATTCTGAGGTGTTCACCTTGTGAGCCTCAGTTTCCTCACTGGCGAGAACAGGTGGACATATCTCTCTCCAAGTTATTTTCAGGAGTGATTGAAACAGTCTTTACAACGGTAAGAACCCAGCGGATTCTATTAGCGGTAGTCAGAGGGTGTGGGATCTTGACTGTAAACGCTAGAGGAATTCAGAAGAAATAAAGAACATTTTGGACTGAGTGAGCAAGACCATCTTTGTGGGTCAGCTTAATCCTGAAGGAAACAAACTCTGGGGAGGGAAAGTGCATCTGAAAAATGGAACAACTTGAGCAAGACACAGAGACAGCAGGCAGAAAAGAGGTGGGGCCACTGGGTGGACTAAAGGAAAGAGCTCTCGGCCGGGTGTGGTGGCTCAAGCCTATAATCCCAGCACTTTGGGAGGCTGAGACGGGCGGATCACGAGGTCAGGAGATCGAGACCATCCTGGCTAACACGGTGAAACCCCGTCTCTACTAAAAATTACAAAAAAAAACTAGCTGGGTGAGGTGGCGGGTGCCTGTAGTCCCAGCTACTCGGGAGGCTGAGGCAAGAGAATGGCGTGAACCCGGGAGGCGGAGCTTGCAGTGAGCCGAGATCTGGCCACTGCACTCCAGCCTGGGTGACAGAGCAAGACTCCGTCTCAAAAAAAAAAGGAAAGAGCTCTCATTTTCGTGTGTGGGGGTGGAAATGTTGAACGAATGACAGGCCCCATGGATGGAAGGCTTTGAAAGTCAAGCTGAAGGGCCCTGATCTAATCTAACTGATAACAGGGCTCCATTGTGATTTGGTTAGCAGGAAAGCTGCAGAGTGATAGCCATGGTATCAGTGAACAGGGTGGTTCCCTGGAGAAATGCGGGCTGGGAGATGGGTTCAAAAGCTTCATACTATTCCAGGCTGACGGATGAGGGGTCAGTGGAGTGGCCGTGGGGTGGATGGAACTGAATAAAGCTGGCATTTCCTTCCATGTTCAACAGACCTGGTGACTCCATAAACACTGGGTAGGAGACAGAAGGAAAAGGAAAGAGAAAATGGTTTTACAGAGCACCTTTTCCACGCCAGACACTAGGCTAGATACATTCCAATCATTCTTATCGAGCTCCAAGCGTAGGATCCCAATCCCAGCATACCAAGAGAATGGAAGGCGCTGCAAGCAAATGGAGTTGCTCAGCTTCCCGGCTGGCCAAGCTAAGGCCCAAGGTTTGATGCTGAGTATGTTGAGAGTGAGGTGGCTTTAGAACAGCCAAGTTCCGGCAAGTGCAAGCATCCTGTTGGAAGCCACAAATCCCGGTTTGGGATTCAGGGAGAGATGTAGTCATGAATATCATTGGCTTAGGGAAGACAGCTCAGCAGTAAGACTCGAAGAGCACTGGAGGGAGGAAGTGTTGGGGTAACAGAGAGGAAAGGAGCCAACAGAAGCCAAGGGAGAAGGGATGTCTGGAGGGAAGAGGTGATTAGCAGCTGAACATTCAGGGAACTTGAGGAAGAAGAGAGACTGAGAAAACCCATGTGATTTATTTATTAGAAATGGAACCAGTGGTGAGAAAAATGTCAGTGGAGGATCAGGGAGAGAAGCCAGATTGCCGGGCTCTAATGAGGGAGTGTGAAGTGAGAAAATGACACGTTAGCTAAGGAAGAGAGACATGGAGGGAAGGGAACAGTATATGGTGACTTTTTGAAATTAAATGAACTTCTAAATGGTGCTATAATGGCATGAAAAAGTGACAGAACCCAATGATGCTGATGCAATTCCCATTAATAGTTATGCACTGGAAAAATCTTACATAAGACACTTGACACAGAATTTTTGGTATATGTCATACTGAGGTTAAAAAAAATAAAAACCCAGCAGGCTGAGATTTTATTTGTACCTAGACTGAGATAGTTTGGTGGGAAAATGACATGACCTACTGTGAATTCAACTAACACCATAGCTTGTTCCAGCACTGATGGACCTGAGCTCAAAGACCACACGATGTTTAGCAAGCCCAGCTCTGCTACTCATGACTTCTGTTCCCTTGGGCACATCATTCAACCTCTTTCTGCCTCAGTCTCCTCACCTGTAAAATGGAAATAATAAAATTGCCGACTCCATAGGATTATTGTGAGGATTTAAGGAAATAACACATGCAAAGCATTTAGCTAGTTCAGAGCCAGTGCCTGGCACTTATTCAGGGATATAGTCTCCAGTCACATTGATACCAAAAAAATACTAAGCTAGCTCCTACCAACAAATTAGCAGAATTTATTTCACACAGGAGACAGCAAGTTTTGCAAGTATACACACCTTGATATTATACTAGTGTTTCCCTCCATATCAAATGCTGTTCCAAGTGCAGATTGCTGCAAGAAATGTGCCGGAGTGACCAAGATCCTCCAAGAGCACAGCCGCATGCATCAGGGACCTCCCCGGGGCCCTGGGTCCTGGCATTTGGACAGTGCAATCTGGCCAAGCTCACGTCCACTCAAGGTTATGGCAGCTCCAGTGTCTCTTGAATGTGAAAGCCCATCTGTTTGGGGAGAAACAGAGAAGCCTGGAAAACTTTCCACTTCCTTTTACACAGAAAAATATTGCTTGTTGTTTCTACTGAGAGAGGACAAGATTTTAGTGTGTGGGAAGTAAATGGAATATGTTGTGTTTTTACTTCTGCAAGAAATTTATTTTTCTTTTCTTTTTTAAATTGTGTTGCAGGGATGTGTGACCGTTCTGCTTCTGGCACCTGTAAGTGAACTATCAAGGTAAATATTGAAGTTTAAATGTAGTTTCGAAAGAAGAGGAATAGCACTTTTTTAAAGCAAGGACATAATCACTTTATGTAACTGTTGCCATGGGGTAAAGGAATAAACTAGCAAAGGTTCTCAAGATGGTTTAGAATTGGGATTTGCTTTTTCTTCACCTTTCTAATTTTCTCAGATTGTAACATCACATTCGCTCCCCTTGGTGTGTCCATCTCCCAGCTTCGCTCTGCTATTCTTCTGTCATGGTGCAATACCATTGTGGACCTCCAGAGTTGGTGCATTGAGTACAACAGAGCATTCTACCCGGTTCAGGGGATAGAGGAATGAAACCTAAACTAGTCATAGCAAATGTCAGGATGAACATTTCAGCTAAACAGAAAGTGTTGAGAGAATCGGATATACCATATTAGTATTAATCAGTCTGTATTAGGGCAGGCAAGCTGCTATAACAAATAACTCCCAAGTTCAGTGACTTCTCACAGTAGAAATTTACTTCCTGCTCATATAACAGCTCCTTGCATGTGTTTGGTGGGTGATTCGGGGACCCAGGCTCCCCCCTAGGGCTTTGGGTCCTCTGCAGCGGGCAGCATTCTGGGGAAGAGACGGAGTGGGTGGTCCTGCAGGGTGATTTTACGTGCTATGCCTGCAGTGCTGTGCGTCACTTCTGCTCATACTCCAGAAGTCAGTCACATGGCCACCCTAATTGCCACAGAAGCTGGGGAAGCTGAACAGCACAGAAAGGGAGATGGGTTCAGTGAACAATTTACCAGTCTTTGCCACATACCCTAAAAAATAAAATATCAAGGAAACAACACAATGTATGTCCCCTGGGAATTTTTGCTTATGGTGTGAAAGCCGCTTTGTCATCAGAGAATTCTCGTATTCTCTTTTCCTGCTGCCTCTCCCTTTTGTTTTCTTTCTTTCCCTTTTTTTTTTTTTCTTCAGACAGGGTCTAGCTCTGTCACCCAGACTGGAATGTGGAGTGCAGCAGCACCATCATAGCTCACTACAGCCTTGAACTCCTGGGCTCAGCTTCTTGAGTAGCTGGGACTACAGGTACATGACACTGTGCCTGGTTAATTACTCTTTTTTTTCTTTTTGGTAGAGACAGGGTCTCACTATGTTGCACAGACTGGTCTCAAACTCCTGGCCTCAAACAATCCTCCTGCCTTGGGCTCTCAGAGTGCTGTGATTACAGGCACGAGCCACTGCACCCGGCCCCTACCTTCTTTCCGCTCCTGTCTGCCTCAGCCCAGCCTGCTGAAGCCGCCTCCTCGTGGGCCCTGGAGTGGGCTGTCTTCAGAACTTGCCTGTGCTTACCTTCCTCAGCATCTTGCCTTACAAACTGTGCAACGAGAATGTGTCCTTCTCTCCATGCCAGCTTTTCAAATTCCTCTCCCATCTTTGGTGCTCAGATCGAATCCCCTTGCTTTTGAAAAGCCTCCCGGATCACAGGACACAGTCTCCTTCTGTAATGCTCCTTCTCGGCACCTCCCAAGGCCTTTCTCAGTCACCCCCTCACGGTCAGGTTTTGTAGATGTGTCTCATCTTTCCAACAGATCTTACACTGCTGGAGAGAAGAGCACCTCGTATCTTGGAGACACTCAGCGCTTCGTTGCTGAGGGCAATGGGAGAGAGTGAGAGGACGTGCCTGGGAGCCCGAAGCTCCGCTTCCTGCCCAAAGGCTCCCCACAGCTTGGCTGTCACCACTCCTCACCTCTGCCTCCACGTCCTCCCTCATAATCCGAAGACACTAGTTCCTGCACCACGTTTCCTCCCAGAGAGCCTTGAGATGCGAATGAGGTAATTCAGGTGTATCCAGAAGGAGAAGTGCCCCAGCTCACTCACCAGGAGGAGATGCGCAGGATGTCCTGAGGACAGGACTCAGGAGGCAAACCAGCACCTGCAGGGTGGAGCTGGGGGAGCAAAACCCTGCAGGAGCAAGCGGTAAAGAAGTGGCTCCCTGTGTGCTTCTTGGAAACTAGAGGCGGTTTTCCTGAAATGAATAGGAAACGGTAAGAAATAAACACCCTTGGCTTTTGGCTTTGAAGTTAGCAAAATGATACCCTTTTCAAACAAAAAGGCAAGACTGGCTAAAATCACTTTGTGATGGCAATTCAAGGGCGGCTTAAAATAGCATCTCGCTGCCCTCAAGGCAAGTACAGCTGTACTGCTCAGGATCACGAGAAGCTCACTTGCTGGCCTCCTCACCAGCAGCTGCTTTTGCTTGGGACTCTGTGTGCACCCCTGGAATGAGTTAGCTGAGAGAAAATCCCAAGGGCCTTGGAGACCCCCTGAATAGAGGGGCCCGGGAGCACCCCATGCAGATAAGGCTGGTCTGGGATGCAGGACTGTGGCCTCCTTCAGTTTCAGCTTCCCTGGGAGCAATGCAAGCTGCCTCCTGGAGATGCTGAAAGGATCTAATGGTTCATACCAAGCGCCAACGCTGTACATCAAATATAAGTACCGATTAACCCACATGGTCTGTGGATGCGGAGACCCGGGATTCTTCTAAATGGAACAATCATTGGTTTATTTTAAGTTTCTGGGTAAAATTTAAAGTGCGATCTTTGAAACGTCTCATTTCCCTTCAAGGGAGGGAATGCGTCCCTTTGGAGAACAGCGGATTGAAATTCAAGTGCCTCTTGCTCTTTTACGTCATCTGGAAGATGTCAGGAAAGGGCGTGACGCACTCCCTCCTCAGCCCCAACACATTTGTTCTGGAGGTGACAGGTGCATGGTTTACAGGCTGGGACACCCACGGGGATGTTTGCAGGTGCCCTGGGAATCGGCGTGAGAGCCACATAGCAAGTGACTGTACAGGCTGGGATCAGGAGTGACTCACCTCTGATTTCATCTCGGGAGGGAGCTGACACTCTTGCCAAGCTGTTGGCCAGTGGCCACTAATTTCAGCAGAGGCATCAGCAGGTCGTCTGCGGTGGCTGTGGGCCTTGGCCAGGAATGGGAGGGCCAGACACACGCTAGGACAGTAAAGCGCCAAGGCCAGGTTTGCCCCTGGTGGAATTATCATAGGCTTCTTGCTTTCATGGAGCTAAGTTCACAGACACAGCTACCCACAGGCAGAGCACACAGAAAAGCCACAGAAGTCACTCCCCAGGTACACAGACCACCTTCACAGGCACTTGTCCACAGGGCAGACCCACAGATAGCCAGAAACACCCCACAAAAATCCCCAAACCCAAATGCATAGACCCTCACAGATGCCCTACAGGCATCCCATGAATACCTGTACACTCACTTTATAGGAACTCTATACTCACTCCAGAGACACCCTACAGATACCCCACAATCTCCCTACCAACACAACTCACAAACCACACGCACCACCACATAGACACCCACAAGATCCCCACTGACACCCACACAGACACCTTCACAGGTACCCCCAAACATACCCCAAAACATCTCAAAGTACACCCAACACCCTGGCAGACAGCCCAACACATACTCCACAGATCCCTTTGCATCACTCACCCCAGCTCGTCTCCTCACATCACCCCACAAAACCCACCACAGAACAGATACCCCCTCCAAAGCAACCCACACACCTCCACCATACCCCACATACCCTCACAGTTCCAGGTACACAAACATGCACCTGTACATAAACTCAGACCCCCATGTGCGCACATGGAGTCAACTATACAGATCCCCTGCGCGCATACACACACAGCCAACCAAATAGATCCACTGTGCACATGCACACACACATCAGCCACACAGATCTGTGCACACACACACAGTCACCCACACAAATCCCTGTGCACACACACGCACAGACCCCCTATGTGCACATGCACAATCATCCACGCCAACCCACTGTGCACACATGCACATAGTCACCCACACAGAACCCCTGTGCACACACTCACAGACCCCCTACACACATACACAATCACCCCCCCCCACACACACACACACAGAACCCCTGTGCACACACAGTCACCCACACAGACCCCCTGTGCACACACACAGTCACCCACACAGGTTCCTTGTGCACATACACACAGTCACCCACAGCCCACTGTGCACCCACACCACAGACCCACTGTGCACACACAGTCACCCACACAGATCCCCTGTGCACACACAGTCACCCACACAATCCCCCTGTGCACACACACACCACAGACCCTGCCACCACATCCCCACACCCCGTCACCACACAGACCCCCATGCACACACACACAGTCACCCACACAGGTTCCTTGTGCACACACACAGTCACCCACACAGATCCCCTGGGCACACACACACACAGACCCCTTGTACACACACACACAGACTCCCTGTGCACACACACACGCACAGTCACCCACACAGATCCCCTGTGCACACACACACTTGCCCACACAGATTTCCTGTGCACATAGTCACCCACATAGACTCCCTGTGCACACACACACTCATGTACACACACAGTCACCCACACAGACCCCCTGTGCGTGCACACACACACAGACCCCCTGTGCACACATACACACAGAACCCCTGTGCACACACAGTCACCCACAGAGACCCACTGTGCACACACACATAGTCACCCACACAGACCCCTATGCACACACAGGCATTGACACTAGCCTGGCATACCAGTAGCCTCCACCCCTCACCTGGGAATTTCCTACCACCACCCACTCAGACATGCTCCTCTACAGAAACCCTCCTCGTACAGAGGTTTTAATGGAGACCCCACCAAAGCCCTTTCCTCTAAGACGCAGACCCGACACTCACTGGCCTGACAAACCCGGATGAAGACGCAGACACACAGACATCCTGCTCCATTCTACAATTCATCGTTTGAGGCAATCTTCTAGCTATAATCTGGAAAATCAAGACAAGCCATTTATTGCAAACAACTGGGATTGTGGTGCAATACTCTGGTCACAGGGTGATGGAACAAAAAGTGCTTAGGTAGGATCCGGTGATGCATCTCTCAGTGGCTCTCGCTGGTCCATAAGTCCGCGGGGGAACTGGGCGTCTCCTTGCTACGATTTTGAAGGAAGAGGAGTGCAGCTCAAAGACTGAAGCGCGATTTCTGGAGAATGTCAGGTCCATTTGTCCCCCAACAGCCTTGTCACAGAACAATCTGCCGTGACCCCTGGAAGGCGGGGGTCCTCGTCCTGCGCTCAGAGACAGCTGGCCTTCTGATGATGGAGCAGAGCTGGGGCCCCTGCCTAGCTCTGCAGCTGGTTTTCCTTACAATCCAAAAGTTTCAAAACAAAAAAGACGTAATGCCTCCAAAAAATTCCTCAAGATTTTCTTAGAAAATAGGTGCTTCCAAAGCGGGCTGTAGTATGGTGGGTGTTAGAAGGAGGAGGGGACAGACGTGGGAGATCAAAAAGAGAACCAGGAGGACGCAGAAAGGGATTAGAATGCAGGAAATAGCTCCGGCCAGCTGGTGGCCATCTGGGAGCCACGCAGAACGGGAAAAACCAAGTTGCTGAGTTTCTAGCAAGTGGGTACAGTTTGTCATGAGAGAAGGTTACTGCTTGGAGAAACTACAGAGAAACCAGATTCTTGCCAGCTATTTTCTGTAAAAAAAAAAAAATCTAGTGGTTTCCCTAAGAATCGGATTGCTGTGAATTTGCTTCTGTCTGAGGTAAACTAGCTAAGGACATCATCATTTTAGGAAATGTTAGATAGCATCTGAGGGTGTTGTGGGATAAGACTCTCCGGATGTCAGTGTGAAAACAGACAGTGGGTAAAGACACACGGTTTTTACCTTATACAGTGATTTTGTAAAGTCTCAAACAGGACCAGAAGGAAGGCCAATGACTGTAAGATAAGAAGTAAATTAATGTGGTTGGTTATTTTTGTTTTGGTAGATATTGAAGGCATATTATATGCGTTTGGCGGTGGCTGTCCAGGAAGAAAAGAAATAAATTGTAAAGTCAACATGTGCACTGTAATATATAAAGACATTCTGCGTCCACTCAGTTGTCCTGCGGAGAACCAAAGGACAGCGTGTGTGAAACAAACCTCATAATGTCTTTGCCATCCACCAAATAGCATCTCTTCTCTCTCCCCCAACTCTGTGAATGGCTCCACCACTGCCCTGTGGTCCATGCCAGCTAGGTCATCCTAGCTGCTTATATCCCATATGCAGAGACAGTCGTGTGCTGCTAATCACGGAGATATGTTCTGAGAAATGCATCTTTAGGCAATTTCATCATTGTGCAAACATCATACAGCATACTCACATGAACCTAGATTGCATACGTATTTTTATTTATGTATATTTTTTATGGGAAACCAAGTGTCCCAGCACCATTGCTGAATATCAGTCATTTCCCCTACTTCATCTGCGATGCCATTATCAAATGCCATTTTTCACGTTTCTATATATGCTGCAAAATCTATGAGACCACTGTGGTACATGCTGTCCATCACTGACTGAAGCATCATTATGAGGCACAAGCCTGTACTTAGCCACCGAGTCCTGACAATTCTATCTCTTTAATAGCTCTAGCCCATGCCCTCCCCACCCTCCCCTCCCTCCTCACGGCAACTGCTTCATTCAATCTGTCAGCATCATCACAGCAACAAACTTCTAAATGGTCTCACCAGGCCCAACTTCAAATCCTTGCACATCACTCTTCATATTTTCACTGGGTGGTTTTTGTAAAAAGAGAAAACGAATCCAATCTCATGTTCATTCAGCAAACATTGATTGAGCGTCTGCATGTGTGAGGTTGTGTCCTAGGTGCTCGGGTGTCAGTGAACAAAACAGAAACCTCAACCTTCAGACTAGTGGAAGGAGAAAGACAATAAACATAAAGATATCAGAATAATTTTGAAGGTGGTATAAGTGCTGGGAAAAAATAAAGCAGGGTAAGGGATCAAGAATTCCTGGTGTGCACACATGTGTGTGGAGTTTTCGATAGGGCAGCCAGGGTAGGCCTCTGAGAAGTTGACATATGACCAAAGGAGGTAAGGGACTGAGCCACCTGAGGATGTGTGGGAAGGGCACTCCTTGCAGACAGAAGAGTCAGAGATACGCCCTAAGGTGAGAACACACGTGAGGGCTTCAAGGAATAGCACATGGACTGGGGTGGCTGGGGCAGGATAGGTGTGGGTTGAGAGTGGAGGGAATGAGATCAGGGAGCTGTGAAGGGGTCAGGTGATATTGGACCTTATGGCGGGCGGTGCCATTGCAGAGTTTTAAGCTGTATACAACTTGCTGTGACTTCTCTATTGGATGATGGCTCTAATGATGCTGCTCTCTCAGACCAGAGGGTAGCAGAGAAGATTGTGAGAGGTGCTGATGTCTCTCTCCCACTCAAAAACCTAAACTCTTCAGTGTGACCCACAAAACCTTTCAGGACTGAGGCTCTGCTTACTTTTCCTGGTTCATCTCTGATGATGCCTTCACATCCCCGTGGCCCCCATGTTCTGGAGCAGGTGGGCATCAAACAAGCATCCCCTTCCCTTATGGCCCCATGGTTTTGCACTGGTTCCCTCCTTTGCCTGACTGCAGTGCCCTTCTGGGCCTCCACTGAGCATCTTCTCCTCAGGGAGGTCTTCTCCTCTCTATACAATGCAGTCTGTATGAAGTCTTGTACATACCTCAGTGACTGAGATTTTATCCCTGAATCAGAACGTTCTGTTCACAACCTGGCTCTCTCACTAGAGTGGGCACTACTATTAATAGAACCTAGAAACTAGAGCTTTTATTTCTGAATCCCTAGTAGACCTTGGACAGTTGGGTGGATGATGGATGGATGAAGGATGGATAGATGAATAGATGGAGTATGAATGGAGGATAGATGAATAATGGTTAGAGGATGCATGGATAGTGGGTGAATAGATGGATGGATGGATGGATGGATGAATCAATGGGGGATGGATGGAGAATAAATGCAAGATAGATAGAGGATGGGTGGGTGGCAGGTCGATGGATGCTGAGTCTTTCATTAGATATTGAATTCAAGGGGTTTTATTTTTAGTTTATAATTAGTTAAGCATTATAAAATGCTCGGAAATGAATTATAAGACATTAACTTCTTCATTACTAGAGAGATGGCTGAAGGAGTATGTGCGGGTAACTACTTGTGAGCATACGTACTCATCAACTGCACATGATGACTGTGTTGCTGGAAAGTCGAATATAAAAGGACTTTTGATAAACAGCATCTTATTTGCCCATTGGCTAAATACTATTTGAGATATGCTTTATTTTTTTTTTGACATGCTATTCAGTTAGCAGGAGGTCACGGTATAACTTCAAATTCCCCAGTACTTACCTTCCCTACCAACTTTTGTCAGATATACTATTCAGCTGAAAGTGACTGATTTCTGTTTGGCAAAGTACTGAGGAAAATCCTTCCAGAAAAATGGGGAGTGTTTTTGCATTGCATAAGCATCTCCTAGTTTATCTGTTTTTCTACGGTTGTCCTCATATGGCGTAGGCTTTAGGGTTCCCCTTTCCCATTGGGAAAGCGTATGATTTCAAAAAGTGCATATAATTTTAATAAAAATCAAAATAAATTTTGAAACAAAAGAAAAATAAAACATAATGTCCAAAAATGTCCAATTTTCAAGAGTTTGAAAATGACTACTAAGCCTTTCCCTCTCAGAGGTGACCATTTCTAGTTCTCTCAGCTGTCCTTCATATGACCTTGTTTCAGGATATCTCACTGTCCTGGCTTTTTCTTCCCAACAGTGGCCCGAGTGCTCCGAACTGGATGCCACACAGCACCTTATAGCCCACCTTGTCCACTGGCATAATATGGCCCATATTCAAGCCACATAGTCCACATCCTTTACTTATAAATTTCTGTTTTGAACCTAAATCCAGAGCTTTCATTGATGTTAAATTTCATGTTATTGACTTTTTTGCATTCTAATCTTATTAAAGCTAAACTAATTTTCACTG